CCAGCTGCCAAGACCCTGCCCCCCACCCCCCTGCACCTGGCTGCCCCTGGCAGGCAGCCCCAGACCCCTGGTGGAGGAAAAGCTTCCCCAGCTCTGAGCAGCTGCCAGGCCTGGCGTGCCAGAAGTTCTATGTTAGGTTGATGGCCCTGCACAGCCCCATGGAGCTGCTATTTTTAATTTAATTGAAGAGTCGAAAGAGAGAGATGATACCCAGTGAGAGAGTTTTAAAAGCTTTCAGGGTGGGGAACGGGGGAGAGAAAGCGAAGAAAAGTTCATAATTATACACCAGGAAGCCAGATTTGATGCTTGAACTGAAAGGTTAAATGTTACATTCAGAATAAAATGAGAAAAAGAGTTTTGATGACAGTTGCCCAGAGCTAAATAAGGAAAAACAATATCCCTTGCCCAGCTCCCTCTGCGTCCTCATAGTCATTTCTCTGCCCCCCCTCCCCGCCCCCACTCTGCTGTTTAAGGCTCTGGAGTACACAAATAATCCGGCTAGGAGCACAAAGATTACTGCTCAGTATATCAACACCTGATCGCCATCCAAAAGCAGCATTCATTCAAGTGTAGGAAGATTATGTTTCATCTCTCAGGCCAACAGATCCAACAAGGTCCAAAAAACTGGGAAGGGGATCTGGCACTGTAGGTAACAACATGGGCTTAAATATGGATGCATCTAGGTTCAAATCTCTCCCCTTCCAAGGGACAGATGTAGGGGGTCAGCTCACCCAATGTCCAATGTCCTATTACTTTTTTTTTTAAATTCTCACCCAACGATATGTTTATTGGTTTTAGATAGAGGGGAAGAGAGAGAGAAACATTGATATAAGAGAGAACATTGATTGGTTGCCTTCTGTAGGTGCCTCGATCAGGGATTGAACCTGCAACCTAGGTATGTACCGTGATTGGGAATTGAACCCGCCACCTTTCAGTATATGGGACAACACTCCAAGTAACAGAGCCACACCAGCCAGAGCTCCTATTTTTTAGCTTACCTTTAAATAATGAGACATAAACAGAAGGCTGTGGGTGAATCTTTCCTAATATAGAGATAGTCTCAGATGGCACATTCCTTTCACCCTTCCTTTTCCTGCAGAGAATATAGGCATGATGCCTGGAGCTACTGCAGCCATTTTTTGATCATGAGGCAACACACTAAAAATGGAAAAATGGAAAAATAGAAAGAGTCCTTGATGATATAGCTATACCACTATTCCATTGGACTGCCTACTTGTTACCAGAGACAAATAAATTCCAATACATTTCAGCCACTTTTAGTTTAGAGTCGAGGGATACGAAATCCATTTCTAACTTGGACAACCCGTTACTAGGCTGAGCTTCAGCGTGACCTGAACAAATGCTTAACATCACCAAGCTTCAATTTTTCTGTTTATACATGGAGACAAATATCATTTATTTCACAGTGTGCATGTAAGAATTAAGTGTGACTCCATTTGTAAAGCACTCACCACAATGCCTGGCAAGGCACGGTGGCTGCTGCTGTTATTAATACTCCTAATTAATAGGCGAGAAATACAAAATTATAAGATTTAAAGTGACATCTCATATTTCAATAGCACTTTCTAGTGTTTTTTGTGTGTGTGTTTTTTTTTAAAGAATACTTTATTGATTTTTTAGAGAAAGAGGAAGGAAGAAGGGGAGAGGGAGAAACATTGATGTGAGAGTGAAATATTGACCAGACCCCTACTGGGAATTAAGCCAGCAACCCAAGCATGTGCCCTGACCCAGGAATCAAACCAGCAACCTTTAGGTGCACGGGACAATGCCCAGCGAACTGAGCCACACTGACCAAGGCAAGCACTTTCTAGTTTTCAAAGTGGCTTCTCATTCCTCATCTTAGCTCATCCTCAACCCCAAATCTCTGAGAAAAATAACTATTACCCCTTAATTTATACCTGAGAGACTCAGAGATGGAGCTACTTGCCCAACTTAGCTAATGACAGGGCCAGCCTCTACCTCAAGTGTGATTCCAAGGCCCTGGGCCTGGTGCCAGGCAAGTTCTGAGCGATTTCACTGGAGAGGCATCATTCCAGGGCCCCAGTTCCTTCCCTGTGGAACACTGATGGCTCAAGTTTAGGGATAAATTTGTGGCCAAGAGAATATAGTTCACACGTCAAAGACAATGTGAGCAGGACTCTGGCCTCCAAATTCCCCCTCCTGTCCCTGAAACATCAGGGTTCCTTGGGCCTCAGTCCTCCACCCACTATTACTCTATTCCAGTTCCTAATATTGAACCAAGACCCCCTTTCAGAAGCAACCATATAACACAGTGGTTGAGGCACAGGCTGGACTTGAACACCACTTTCACCACTTATCAGAAAAAAATATTTGTTAAATAGATAATACATTATGGCTCCTTTCTCTGTATCAGTCAGAGTAAGCATCATAGCTGCTGTAACAAGCAACCCTCACATCTCAGTGGCTGAACGCAGTAGACTCTCCCTCATGTCCCAGTGCAGTGTAGGTTGGGGAAGGGGCTCTGCAGGCTCCTTCCATCTGCAGCCGTACTGTCCCCTTCCCCATTGGATCCTCTGAATTCCACATGATGATAGAGCTATTTTAAGGGTCGGACACACATGAAATTGGCCAGCACTTATGACATGGTCACATGGCCTGACCTACCTGCCAGAGATCTGGGAAGTGTAACCTCACAGTGTGCCAAGTTAGGGAGGGGCACAGTCCCCAACAGTCCCCAGTGGTCTCCATCTCAGTCAAACCATGGAAAGAAGGCATCCCTTCAATCCCCAGGCCACATCACTTGTCTCACTTTTCATCATCGAAAACACAGTTATTTATGCCTATGTCCCCACGGCAGACGATAATCTCCTTGAAACCGGAAATCCCACGCACCTCTTTCACCTTCAAGTCCCCCGTGCCCAGCACAGCATCTGACACCTAGTAGGTTCTCAACTGTTCATCAAATATTACACCAATAGGAGCTCAGACTTTAACAGAATATTGGAACATGTGGGATGAATGGAGAGAAAAAAACGTGGCAGAGGAGGAATGAGAGGCTCCAGGCCCTTCCTATTCTCCTCAGTGGTAACCACTGTCCATAGCCCCGAGCTCCTCCACAGCTGCCCTGGCCCCCCGGGTTCTCACATACTCGCACTCCCTAGTCTCCCCCTGGGGCTGCCCACACTACCCCCATTCATCACAGAAGTCAGCTCAAATTCTAAACAAGTGGTTTATTTGCGTATATAAAACAAGACCCCGGCCATGGGGGAAGGACACTCGCTCCTCCCTGGCCAGAGTGTGGGGGACTAGAAACTTCAACTCTCCCAGCCTTACCCTCCCTCTCCCCTACTCAAAAATACTTCTCCCTTGCCCCAGTTAAAACCTACTCAACTAAAAGAATGGACAACCCGAGGGAGATGCCCGTGAGCAGTGAGTGGGTATTAGGCATGGGGATGGCAGCTGGCCACTCCCATCCTAGTAACAGCCCACCCCTGGGGAACCCTGTGCTCCCATGGGTTGGATCCCATCCTTGAAACAAGATAAAAGCCCAGAACTTTAAAAATCCCCCATGAGCTCGGAATTCCAATGCCAGCTAACCCCACCCCTGCCCAGACCCTCCACTGCAATTAATTCACCTGCGCCCCTCCGATGAGAGCCAGGTCCCCCAGCGCAAGCCAACAGGTCACAGCCTCTATCTCTCGTCATATTCCTCCTTGGTCATCCACTCAGACTTGTAAGTAGACAGATGAGCCACAATAGACGCTCCCAGCCAGACGCTAACATTTCTTCTGCCACCCGACCACACGCTGGCCTTGGGGAAGGAGGAATCATCTGTGACCAACTCCCGGTGCAGGCGCTTGATGAAGCCGGGGTAGAGGGTGTTCCCCCCACAGGCAATCACGTACGGGATGAGCTGCGGCTGCAGGGACGCTTCGCAGGCGTTGATGGAATCCAGGACGGCCTGGGAGATGCTGGGCCCCGGCTGGTCGAACACCTGGGGGCTGAAGAACATCTCGGGGGCCAGCCGCTGCATGGGGGTGAGCTCCACCGAGGTGCCGTCGGGGAGCTGGTAGGTGTTGTTCTCATCGGAGCCGCTGGGCAGGCTCTGAAGGAAGTCCAGCGCCTCCGCCAGATTCTGCGGCACGTAGCACTTTCTCATCTGAATGGCGTCAACCGTGTCCAGCTGGAACAGCTTGTGTGGCCCGCCACCCTCCTTAAAGAGGCTCTTGAAGATATAGGCGTAGAGATCCTGGCCCGCGAACTCCAGCGTCTTGCCGCTGGGCCACAGCCGGCGGCCCAGGTGGAAAGGCTGCACTCGGGTCAGGCCGTAGCCAGAATCGACCACCACGCCCGTCAGTAAGCCAGAGGCGTACAGGGACATCTCCAGCTGGTCAGCCAGAAGCAGCGACGGGACATCCAGGGCCTCAAACATAATCTGCAAGGAGGGAGGAGACAGACATACATGGTGTTTCCCTTGAACAAAGGGCCCTGACCCATTTCCCTTTTACCCAGCCCCGTGCTACGCCCAGCTCTCAAAACTGAAGTGGGCACAGATCTGTGTCCTCAAGGGACTGGCGGCTGGCCCCCGAACATCGGGCCCAGGGCACGTGGAGCTCCCGCTGTGGTCATCAGGGAATAATTAGAAGCTCTGGGGGATGAGGCAGATTTGCCTCAGAGCTTGTTGGACGAGGGCCTTTCAGAAGACCCTTTCGGTGGAAGGGTGGGAAGAGCCATCAGGCTGCAAGAAATGGTGCTGAGCCGAGACACTGGCTTTTGGGGACACTGGGGGGACAGTAGGGGAGCCACAGACAAGGGACAGAGGCGCAGCTGAAACCATTTCTTTAGAAGAGGAAAGAAGAGATTAGAAAAGAAACAAGCATGGCATATTTACGACACTGCCTCCCAAAAAGTGGGGGGATAAAGAAAACCCCTCCCCTCCTGGTAGGTGAAGACACGCTTTGTTGTTGTTTTTAATAAAAACTTTCAAACATCAGCCAAGACTTTAGGGTTTGGCAAGATCCCCAGGTTGATTTTCCCCCCGCCCATCATCCCCGGGATCTTTACAGAGCACCCGCATGTCTCCCAGCACCCCAGCTCTACATGCACTCCCTTCAGGAGCTTCCTATTCATTTAGAGCAGAGCTCGGGAAGCATTTTCTGTAAAGGGCTAGCCAGCCAGGGTTGCCAGATGTAGCAAATAAAAATGTGGGATGCCCAGTTAAATTAGAATTTCAGATAAAGAACAGATAATGATTTAGTATAAGTATGTCCTGTGCACTATTTGGGGCATATTTATTATACTAAAACATTCATCATTGTTTATCTGAAGTTCTAATCTAACTAGGTATCATGTATTTCATCTAGCAAACCTACAATAGTAAATATTTTATGGGCTCTACAGTCTCTGATGCAACTACTCAACACTGCTGTTGTAGTAAAAGCAGCCATAGATGATATGTAAATGAGTGGGCATGGCTGTGTTCCAATAAAACTTTATTTATTAAAACAGATTCTTGGCCCAGATTTGGCCCACCCACTCTAGTCTGTCAACCCTTGATTTAAAGTAAAATCTAAGCACTTCCCACAGCTTACCAAGCCTGCCAGCTCTGGCCCCTGCCAACCTCACCTTTCTGTCTCCCTCTTGCCACACTCCCCTGTCTGCTGGCAGAAATCTCCTCCTCTGAGAAGCCCTCCCTGATCACCCTCTTCAAAGGGGCTCCTCTGACCCTCACTAGTCAGCTATCACCCCACTTCATTTTGTTTCTAGAACTGACCACTGTCTGGAATTTTCCCTTGTGAACTTATTCTGGGTCAAGTCTTCTCCCGGAAGGTAAGCCTTNTTCTAATCTAATCTAGGTATCATGTATTTCATCTAGCAAACCTACAATAGTAAATATTTTATGGGCTCTACAGTCTCTGATGCAACTACTCAACACTGCTGTTGTAGTAAAAGCAGCCATAGATGATATGTAAATGAGTGGGCATGGCTGTGTTCCAATAAAACTTTATTTATTAAAACAGATTCTTGGCCCAGATTTGGCCCACCCACTCTAGTCTGTCAACCCTTGATTTAAAGTAAAATCTAAGCACTTCCCACAGCTTACCAAGCCTGCCAGCTCTGGCCCCTGCCAACCTCACCTTTCTGTCTCCCTCTTGCCACACTCCCCTGTCTGCTGGCAGAAATCTCCTCCTCTGAGAAGCCCTCCCTGATCACCCTCTTCAAAGGGGCTCCTCTGACCCTCACTAGTCAGCTATCACCCCACTTCATTTTGTTTCTAGAACTGACCACTGTCTGGAATTTTCCCTTGTGAACTTATTCTGGGTCAAGTCTTCTCCCGGAAGGTAAGCCTTTTGAGGGCCAGGATCTCATCTGCGAACATGACCGAATGTCCGGTGTCTCCTAGTAACGTCTTTTCCAGAGGATTTTTCCTGCTGGGTCTCTATCTATGGGAGGACCCTTCGTGAGTCCCTTGTACCCAGCGCCGGGCACACGCGAGACACTCAGGAAAATATTCGTGGGACAAATGATTCAGAAAGAAGACTGACGCCCTGATGGCCAGTCTTGTCCAAACACAAAGTGCCGGCTGTTCCCCACTCCCTGGTGAGGCAGCTCTGAGAAGGCCTTACCTCCAGGGTCTTCTTTCGGTCCGCAGGCTCCCTCAGGGGGGTCTCTGTGACCAATACAGGGAAGTCCTCATGATCTTGTCTGTGCTTCTGCAGGACAAAGGACCAGATGTGCTCCACGCCCTCCCAGTTGAGGACACGGCCCCGCTGGATGGGGTAGCTAAAGGTGTCGGGGTGGAAAATGTCAATGCCGAGGCCCAGGCGCCGCCGGGCGGAGCTGGGGCCAGGGTTCTCCCTGCAGGGTCTGTAGTTCACGATGTTCGGGACGATCAGCTGGGGCTCGTTCCAGCCGGAGAAGCCAGACTTCAGGAAGCCGGACCCGTGGTCGATGATGATGGTTCTCTCGGTCATGGCAGAGGCGGGGGCCCAGGTGCGATGGATCTTCTGAACTTGGCTCCTCAAGGGCGTTTGGCAAACCAGGGCCACCTGCGGAGGGAAAGCATGGGGGTTCTCTGTGAACCCAGGGAACCCGGGCTGGCCACCGTGGGCCGCTTCCCACTCTCCACCCAGCGTCAAACCTCAGGCTCCCCGAAGCCTGTCCGTTCCCATTTCCAAGCCTTTGCACGAGCTGCCACCTGCGCCTGGAACGTCCTTCCCATCCCAAAGTCCCCAGCACCTGACAAGGCTCACCCCATGGCCCATCTGAGAACCCTTGTCTATGACACCAGGTGGGCACTTCTGCTCCACAGAGCAGAGGTTGGGCCCTATTGCTCTGCAGATTGGGCAAGAAGGTTGTCCCCCGGCACGTGCTTGGTGGTGGCTGGCTGCCTGGTTCGAGGACGCGTGGAGCACTAACTATCAGCCTCAGGGGCCACAGCGGCATGAGCAGTGGTAATAGCGACAGTGCCCTGGCTACCACCTGTGAAGGACATACTCTCTCTAGTCCTAGAAAGGACATTTTGCGTATTAGGTGGAACTGTGTAAAACTGCCATCTGTGTCCGTCAAAAATGGTCAAATACCAGCAACTCCGTATGTTCCGATCTGATAGGCATTTAATCCTCGCTGCAATCTATGAGGCGGGTACCATCGTTACACTCACTTTACAGATGGGGAAACTGAGGCACGGGGGGTAACTTTACTTTCCCAGAGCCACACAACTAATAAAAGCATAGCTGAGCCCAGCTGGTGTGGCTCAGCAATTGAGCATCAACCTAGGATCCAGGAGATAGTGGTTTGATTCCCGGTCAGGGCACATGCCCGGGTTGCAGGCTTGATCCCAAGTAAGGGGCATGCAGGAGGCAGCCGATGAATGACTCTCTCATCGTTGATGTTTCCATCTCTCTCTCCCTATCTCTTCCTCTCTCAAAATCAATAAAGACCTATTTAAAAAAAAAAAAAAAGCAGAGTTGAACCCAAACCAGACTCCGAAGGGCACCCTCTGAGCATTGGGGGAGGCGTGAGAAGAGGGGTTTTGAGTGTGAGCTGAGCAGCTAACGTATAAGGGAGGCTGTGAGCAGGGCACCTAACCAGACCGCAGTCGGTTTCCTCATCTGTGACGTGGTGGAATAACCTCCCTGCTGAAAAAGCAGGTGCGCCGTTTCCTGGCTTCCAGGCTGACGGTAAAACCGAGGTATTGGTGACAAGACAGTCACATAGATCTATGGAGAAATCGACGGATCTGTGACAAGTGCAAAAACAATGAACTGGAGGAAGGATGGTCTTTACAAACAATAGCAGGGAACAATCGGGTATCCACAGGCCAAAAAACACAAAAACTTTAAGGTATGGAATACCTCACACCCTATAAATAATTAAGTCAAAATGGGTCATTTGTAAACCTAAAACTATAAACCTTTTTTTTTAAAAAAAAGCAAAACAGGAGAAAAATCATTATAACCTTAGGAAAGGTGAAGTTTTCTTAGATGTAAGATACAAAAGAGAATAAACTGGTGGATTGGGGTTCATCAAACTTGTGACCTTTTGCTCTTCAAAAAACACTGTTAGGAGTATGAAGAGATGAGCCACAGACTAGGGGAATTTGTACAAATCATACAGCTGATGAAGAACTTGTATCCAAAACACAGAACGAACTCGCAAGACCCGATGATAAGAAAAACAATTCCATTTTAAAAGTGGGCGAAAGATTTCAACACTTCAGGAAAGAAGACCGATGAGACAAACATGTGGAAATATGCTCAACATCACTAGCTGTTAGGGAAACGAACATTAAAACCACGGGATACTAACAGACCCCTCTGAGAGTGGCTCGAGTTCGAGACCGACAGTAGCAAGTGCTGGCGAGGGGGCGGAGGGACTGGAACCCTCACGCCCCGGGGGGTGTGAAGGGGCACAGCCACCTCGGACAGTTTGGCAGCTTCTTAGAAAGTTAAATGTGCACCTGCCACACAACCTAGTTTCTCCACTCCAAGGTGCTCACCCAAGAAAAATGAAAACTTACGCCCACAGGGAAACCTTTATGTGCACATTTATATAGCTTTATTCATAACCACCAAAAACTAGAAACAACCTAAAAGTACTTCAACTAGGGAACGGGTGAACAAATCGCCATTCAATGCAATAACGCTTGGCAATAAAAAAAAAAGACAAGAACCAGGAACCTGGGTAAATCTCAATGTACTAAGCTGGGTAACAGCAGTCAGGCTCAAAAGGCCACAGACTGTCCGACTCCATTCATAGGACATTCTGGAAAAGGCAAAACTCTAAGGACAGAAAACAGATCAGTGGCTGCCAGCAGCAGTGGGTAGGGAGAGGGGTGGACCCCTGGGGTCAGGGCAGAATGTGGGGGTAACGCCAGAACTCTGCTCTATCCTGCTTGTGGAGGTGGGCACGTACCTGTCAAACCTCACCACTATACACTAAAAAGAAGTGACTTTTACTCTGAGAAATTTTAAAGGGAAAACCCAGGGGGTGTAGGGGCAAATTAAAGGTTTATGAAATTGCCTTGTAGAATACAAACGGCCACACAGACAGCAGACTCGGTGCTTAGGGTGCATGTGGGTGTCCCAGGTAAGAGAGACATCCGGGGCCAAGTCCCCAGGCTGGCACCCCGCCAGCTGTCTGCTCTGCCCCTGTTTCTGGATAGCAGTTGCCGCTGCCCATCACTGTGGGCATGACAGCCACTGCCTGGCCCTGGTCAGCGGCTCCCCTCCGTCACCAACGTGGGAGCAGTGATCAGGCTGTCACTGCCTTGGATTAGCTCTGACATCAGATGGAGGAGAGCAAACAGGGGAGAGACGGAGCTGAGACATCCGCCTCCTCCCTCGCCCTCTGGCAGGCTGAGCGATAGCTTCCTCACACGGCATCACCCAGAGTGAGGGGGAACCGGGCGCTGGAGGACAGCCCGGGACACCGGCTCTGCCAGTGACCTCTCAGTACCACAAGAGCAGGTGACTGATCGGTGCTTCCTGGGCCCTGGCATTTGGAACCGCAGGGGATACACGGTGACTTTCACTGTGGCTGTCGATCAGGATGGCCATTGAGGGGAACGCCAGGATGGTGGACCAGCTGACCCGGCCCAGGAGCATGAGGCCGGGAGGCTGGGGGCCATCCCTCCCTGGGACCATGACTGTGGGAAGAAAAGTGAGTGGCCCCAAGGGGCTAGCTCTAAGGATAGACATGAAATTACATATTCAAAGCATTTTTACTGAGCTGTCTATTCCACAGATCCCTACTGAGCACCCACTACACACTATTGAGACACGGTTCCTGCCCTCCTGGGGCTTACAATCTACTGAGACTGTCAGTAAGCACCAGATCACGTGCGTCATGCCAGGGGGCATCAGTGCAATGAAGAAAAATAAGGTCTAGCACAAGCGACAGGGAGCATAAGAGGCACAGAGGCATGGCGCTAAACAGGGCAGTCCGAGAAGGCCTCTCCAAAAGGTAACACTGGAACAAAGAACTGAATGAAGCGAGAGGACAAGGCACGTGATTACCTGGAAAAGCATTCCAAGCCCAAGGAATAGCAAGTGCAAAGGCCCTGAGGAAGAAATGGCTAGATGTGTCCTAGGAACAGCCAGGAGGCCAGGATAGCAGGACGTGGCAGGTGAGGGAAGGGTGCTGGAGGTTCAGATGGGCCTTGCAGACCTTTGTGTTGTGCTTACAGATATGGGGAACCCCTGAGCGTTCGAACAGAAGAATCACATAAACTCACCTGAGTTGCTGAAAAGGATCATTTGGGCCAATCTGAAGAATGAACTGCANCTGGAGGTTCAGATGGGCCTTGCAGACCTTTGTGTTGTGCTTAGAGATATGGGGAACCCCTGAGCGTTCGAACAGAAGAATCACATAAACTCAGCCTGAGTTGCTGAAAAGGATCATTTGGGCCAATCTGAAGAATGAACTGCAGAGGGCAGGAGAAGCAGGAGACGGAAAGGCCTTAACAGATGACGGTGCCCTGCACTTGGATGGCAGCAGTGAGAAGGGTGAGAAGAGTAGGATGCCGGATATATTTAATGAAGATGGATACGCTGAAGTGTGAGGCCAGGAGAGGAAAGAAGGGAGACACCAAGACTGTGGGCCTGAAAAGCTGAAGACTGGAGTCTGTGTTTACGGAGGTGGAGAATGTACAGAAGGAGCAGACTTGGGGCAGAGAGGAAATCAGGAATTTTCTTTTGGACACAATAAACATTTGAGATGCATATTAGACACACATGAAGATGTCCGAAGACAGAGTTTATAGATGTCTGAGCTGGAGATATAATTGGGAGTCACTAAATGGATGGAATTGCAAGTTACAGGGTGGGTGTGACCAGGAAGGGACAGGGTGTAGATACAGACTGATGCCTGGGGGCACGTTAAGGTCTGGAGGCTGGGCCCTGGGAGAAGCCGGTCAGGAGAGAAAGACCAGCCAGGGAGGGAGGAGGGAAACCAGAGGGAGCTGTGTCCCAGAATCTGACCACATCTCACCCTTCTCACTGTCACCATCCTAGTGCCAGTCACCATCAGAGAAAGTATTTCAAGAAGAGAGAAACTGGCCCTGCCTGTGTGGCTCAGTTGGCTGGAGCATCGTCTGGTATACCGAAGGGTCGTGGGTTTGATTCCTGGTCAGGGCTCATACCTAGGTTTTGGGTTTGATCCCGGTCTGGGTACGAACTAAAAGTAACCAATCGATATATCGATGTTCTCTCACATCAATGTCTCTCTCTCTCCATCTCCCTTCCCCTCTCTAAAATCAATAAGCATAGGATTAAAAAAAAGAAAAAGAAATGTTGACACGTTCAAAAATGCTTTTTAAAACAAGAAGAGAGAAATCGAATGTGCTGAGAAATTAAGATGGATGACAAAGGACTATCCATCGGATCTGGCAACACAGACGTCCCCAATAGCTTCTCCAAAACTGGCCCCTGCTCCTCAAAAACACCAGTAGTTACAAAACAAACAATGTCAG